CTTTGCAAAATAAATAAATAAATAAATAAATAAATAAATAAATAAATAAATAAATAAAAATAAAAAAATAATACAGACTTTCACATACTCACAAGAAACTATTGTGTGCTCATGTGCTGATTTTTATTTTATTTTGTAGAAACCATACACCAAAGATGCTTTAATAGGCTATATATTTTATTTGACAGATGAGCAACTGTTTGGATATGCATTCATTAACAGAAAACTAATCATTGTTATATAGCTAAACTCAGTTTGTCTTTTTGTTTCAATCTTGTTTTCTTGATTTATCGCGAGTACCATTTTTAATATTGATCTAGCTCTCTGCAGTGTGCAACAAGTGTCTCATGTAGTCGCCGCCGAGCGAACGCACAGAGTAGCATTATAACAACTTTGAACACACTCAAATATATCTAATATGACAAAACACTTTTGTTTTGAACAAGCGACCCCTAGCAGCAAAAAAAATACATAGTGTGCCTTTAAGTTGTTGTAATGATCAAGATTATTATGTCAACATAATGCTAAAAAATAATGTTTGCAACTTGAAATCTTTACTTAAAACAATACATTCAATAAAAAAAAAATTAAATTGTTTAACTTGCAGCCATGCATTTATTTGAGTTGTGGAAACAGGTCCCCTAAAGTTCTTTTTAACTTTTAATAAATCAATGCTACCACTTTCTGTTCATAAAAAAGTTTGAAAACAAGCAGCTTTGTTTTGATTACAGCAGGAATAACACTATTTTAGCTATAGTGGAGAATCTTTGACTGAGAACCACTAAAATAGATGAAAAAACAGGAGGAAAAGGACCCAAGGGATCTAACTAAGACCAAGGTGCAAGACCGGAGCACAGAACGTTTTAATATATTTATTAGTACAAAATGACCAACGTTTCGACGCACATGCGTCTTCTTCAGAGTCAAAACATGATGAAAAACATGTTCTTAAAAGTTCCCACATATAGGCTAACTGTGGGAACTTTTAAGTATCTAGGTATTCTTGATAACATCTAGGTTCTTGATAACATCTGAGTTTTACAGATAACACAGACTATATTTTTAAGAAATGCTCACTCCTCCGAAGACTGAACTGCCTGGGCGTCCGTGCTCAGGACTTTTAACATGTTCTTAAAAGACAACACATAACTGTGGGAACTTTTAAGTATCTAGACATTCTTGATAACATCTAGGTTCTTGATAACCATCTGAGTTTTACAGATAACACAGATTATATTTTTAAGAAATGCTCACTCCTCAGAAGACTGAACTGCCTGGGCGTCCGTGCTCAGGTTATTGAGCTAGTGTATACATCACACACATTGAACGCGTTTTAACCTTTCATATCTCTGCTTGGTTTAGCCATTTAAACTGCAAACATAAGAACAAGCTTAACAGGATAGTGTTAATGGCTAGTAAAATAGTAGGAAAACCCCCAAAACACCTGACCGAATTTTACACTGATATAATTTATGGATATGGAGGTCAATGGCTGTCAACTGTCTGGTTACCAATATCTTCCTTTGTGTTCAGCACAAGAAAGAAATCCATACAGGTCTGAAACAAATCGAGTATGAGCCTAAATTATGTCAGAATTTTCCTTTTCGGGTGAACTATCACTTTAAAGTTTTGTCAGTCAAAAATGCAATGGAGCCCATCCTCTCAAATTGTGTTTGACTTCATATAGTCGAGTCTAAGTCAAGGCGTCAAGGAGTCAAGTGTGTAACAGAATGTGACAGAAGATCAAAGACATTTTAACAGGGGTTTAGAAATTATAAATTATATGATGAAGAAATTAAATACCTATCATACATGACCTGCACTATGTCTCTATGTGTACAAATGTAAATGATAGGCTACAACAATTAGTAATTGATTGGGGAAAAAAAAAACACATTTCACATCTGTGTTGTAATTTAATTTGCACCTGGCACCTGTTAATAAGGGTGCAACTTTGTGTAAAAATTAGTCAATGAAATATCAATCAAATGCAAACAAAGCTTTTTGTTCACCGGTATAATGGAAAAGGCAATCATAAGTTCAATGATGAATTAGTTCCTTCCAGGCAATCTGGTAAGGCTGTAATAGAGCTTCATAGGGTCATTAAGGCCATATCAAGCTGTTCCCACTATTGCTCGCAGGCCTATTGTTGCGCTTGACAACAAGTGACTTGTAACAATAACAGATTGCCTTAAATAACCTTAAATCAGACACCAGTTACTATAACTGCTTTAGGTTTCGTTTTTTCATCCTGGTAACTTGTTATTTGCGTGGTATTAGAGTTCTCTTAAGTTTTCTTAAGTTGCTTAATGACTGACAAACCAACATGTGGGTTTTAAACTTTTGATTTCTCTTGAGCTAACACCAGCAAATTCCCCCTAGCAGTGACCACAAAAAAATATATATATATTATATTTTTGGATTTCTGTTGCATAATGATTGAATTTTGCTGTTCAAATTTAACATAGCCTACATCCGGTGTTTTATTAGATCAGAAAAAGCCCCTGACAAGGAAATCAGCTTAATTTCAACACTGGTCTGCTTTTCTTAAATTGACATACTGTCCTATATGTGATGGTTTGACATTCAGAAGTTTAACCTTAAATTATAATTAGCTGATTTAAAAAAAAATAAAAAAATAAAATAAAATAAAAAAATAATAATAATAATAATAATAATATATATATATATATATATATATATAATTGTAGCTTTTTTTACATTTTCGAAAAGCTTCTTTGAAATCGTCTCGTAAAACTGTTTTTTCTTTCAACTTGATTTTAAATCCATCATAGTTTAATCCTAATAAAACAAACATTGCGATTATCTATCTTGAAACACTGTCTAAAATAATCTCACTATTTCATAATTTTATTTATTTTACATAGGTTCCCTTGTAAAATAGTTTGTATCACAACAACAAACTTTTGCTCACAGCCCTTGGTCTATATTATGCGGCGAGCTCTCGGTTTATGCAAATCCACTTTATGACGCCTGACGCTCAATGGGCCACACCACACCACACGCTAGCGTGTTAATGCAACGTGAATGATGTTTGGTGAGTGATGAGTCTTGTATCCGTTAGACATTAGACAAGTGTTTACAAGCAGATAACTGAAGCAAAAAGCTTGACTCTAGTTTATCATCTAAAAATATTGGTGCTTTGAGTTGAATGACTCAGATGACTTAATATCTCTTTGAATGTTTGCCTATGGTTTGGGGGATTTTTTGTTTTGACATTGGGGAAGTTTACTCTGAAGTAAAAATACAGCATCTAATATGAGCCAGAGCCACACTTACCGGCGGTACATTACATTCAAGTTAATGTTCTAATGACCAAAAACCTTAATTTGTATTAAAAACGATCCACAGAAACGCAACAAAGGTCCGTTCACACACAACGCATTTTTTGCGTTTAAAAACGGGATATAGTAGAATGAAATGAATTGAAAAAAAGAAAGTTTATTTAAGTTTAACTTGAAAGCTCGTTTACGCGAAAGCAAAAGTCCAACATGTGAGTGTAGCCAGTGTTTGTTTACATAGAGGCAGTGGGAAAGCAGCGTAGTGGAATGGATAAAGGGATAGCCTTGTTCTGTCACAACTTACTCATCCTCAGGTTGTTCCAAACCTGTATACATTTCTTTGTTCTATTGTACACAAGGATATTTATAAGAATGTTGGAGAACAGTCATGGGGCACAATTGACTTCCATAGTATTTTGTTCCTATAGTTAATAGTCCCCCAATGGTCCCCTGGTTACAAATTTTCTTCAAAATATCCTCTTTTGTGTTCAGAACAACGACATTCATATAGGTTAAGAAATTAAATATACAGGTTTGGAACAACTTGAGGGTGAGTAAATGTTGACAGAATTTCCATTTTTGGGTGAACTATCGCTGTAATATATTTAAGGATTCTATCTACAGTAGGCTATATTTCTGTCACAGCTGCACTTTAAAAACTGCCAATGTCAGCCAAAGTTTAAACATTTAGCAGAACTAGTCAAGTTGTGAATTTTAAACGTTCATTGGTCACTGGCTCACTGGGAGAGAAAAAAATCACCATATGCGGTTCTTTGCATTTAGGGAAATTAGTCTGGTGGAAGAGAAATATAATTTGTCATGCTTTAATGTCATTGCTTTACTCCTACTTTAGCTTTATTGGGGAATTATTTCTCTCGTAAAAGGATTCTTTTGATTTCAAAACTTGCATATGTAGCCTATATGTAGCCTGTGCATGATCTGTATTTCAATCTACATAATGACGTTTTTCTATTATTTTTTAACTCTTAGTCACCTCATTTTTTTTATTTTTTTTATTTTTTATTTAAAGCCGGTACACAAAAAGGTAGATTTGTCTCATTAGAATCTTAAAAAGTAAGAGCCCTAATTATTTGCTAATTGGTCAGATAGTTCTTAACACAGTCTTAACTTAGTGGCTGCAACTGGTCCCTGTGGTTGTCTTTTCCCAGGCAACATACTAGTATTGTTTATTGCAAGATAGCAGGTACCACAGTGAATGTAAACTTTAAATGTTATAAGGAAGAAAAACAAACAGTAGGCAATCCCCGTAATAATCCCTAAACACGATAGTTCTCTTGAAATTCTCTGACAACCGGGTAGAACATTTTCCTAAACCTCAATATCACATGCAAAGGATGCTGTGTGTTTACTTCCCTGAAAAAGACACATGCGTGTGTTTGTCTATGCAGATATCATTATCTGGAATGATAGACATTTTATTACACATGCTGCTACTTCTTTTAGTTTAGACAAGCTGTGTCATCGGATGTACAGTAGAGCCAGACTGAAACCTCAAGCATAAAAGCGTAACAAAAATGTTCTTTGACTGATCTGATTGAAATTCTGCCATGGACATATAAGTAAGCTGTCCAACTGTATTATGTAATATTTTCTTGATATTGTATTTGCAGGTCAGAGATAGGAGGCAATGTTTTGCAGCTTTCTTTATATGACTTTAGCTCTTATGTTTCTTTATAGTAACAGTCAAGATGCAGCACACCTCGTGCACAGAGGACCGGATCCAGCACGCTCTGGAAAGATGCCTGGATGGACTCCGGCCATCAGAAAGCCTGGCACAATCCTGGAACGGTAGGGCCACCCCACTTACCCTCTGCTGCTGCTGCTGATGGGTCGCTGTTGGTTGACATCACTGTTTCTCATTTCTTTTTTTTTAAACTTCTGTTTTGTGGAATTTACATGCGTGTTCTTCCTTTCTCATTTTTCTCATTGGGTTTCATTTGAGCCTATTTCACTGATTGGAATTTAGGTAGCCTGAGTTTCCCACAATTTTTGCGCAGCACGATTCACGCTGCTAGGCAGTCTGGATACCATGGACCAGAATTTTTGCCTCATCTAGGGAACCAATCACAGAATGGGGAGGGAGCAGCAAGACGATGATGATGTCTATGTCTATGCGACACACCGAAGCAGTTTGTTTATGGATCAAACATGGCAGCAGACGCGAAGTTACCTTTCGATTCAGCCTTAAATACATACGTCTTCTTCCTCGTCTAATTTCTGTCGCTCTACAAACGTCATCTGGTATAATTGAAAATGATTGGGTATGAGCTCTACGGACAGGTGCATTTGATAGACATTCGTAGCACCCAATAAACGGCTCTGGGCATTCATAAACCACGCCTCAAATATGAGAAAATTAACATGTGGTTCCAAGACCATGTCTCAATCTCAATGAGCCATGGTCTGACGTTAGCCAGCCTAGCATTTGGGTTGGCCTGCTGGTTAATTGTAAATTGGCTTCCCAGTGTTAATTCATGCAAATAATTCAGTGACACAACAATCTTCTTTTTTTTTGTCTTCACCTTATCCACAAGTTTCCGAGGGGCGCTCCTGTAAAAAATAAAGTGGGTGAAACTTCCGGCGAGGCGGCGGAAGTAGCATTCCAATGGTATTTTGTGTGTTAGTTAGCGAAGAGGCTAGCTGTTTTTCGGAGAATTATTTTACTATTTAAAGACGCAAATCTTTATGAGCGATGTCGTTACGGAGCTCAGGGACAGCATGTGCTGTTTGCGGTTGTATGTATAACCGGACTATAATTCAGTGGCTTAAACGTGATTGTTTTGAACATAAGCTGAAAACGAAATCAGAGTGATCCTGCCAACGACTGTAGTTTCAATCACCTCCCAAAAGACGACGAACGAATCTTCCTGTGTACATTTGTTTAAATTCTTAATATTGTATAAACTCTATCAGCATGTGATTGGCTGTTCGCTACTGATGTTACACCTAAACTCAGGATCAAAGCCTGTGTTGACAGAATACCAAAGGTGCCAGTTAATGTATTCAAGTAGCACATTCATTTATAATTTTGAATAAACTCCAAAGCACAATGGCTAAGTGTCTATTTTTTATTTTAATTGTTTGTCAGCTCGCACAACTGTCTGTCACCATGCCTTGATGAGTATTGATTATTAATAATGGTTTTATAATACTCCCAATCAACTACTGCGGAGGGTAAAGGCACTGTTATTTCACCCTTTTGAATTTCGTTGAGGTTGTGTTCCCACATCGTTTGCTAGTTTGGATCGCTAAAACTTGAATGACTGTCAACTGTTGAATGAACGAGTGTTAAGCATGTCAAGCCGCGCTTTGTTTACTTCGAACCGGAAGTCGCGCCCACTTTTGACGCAAGGCATCATGGGGCGTAGGAAACTTGTGGATAATTTATTCAAAAGTACATGCATATCGTTCCTAAACAGGAAATAGTATTATAGAGAGAGGACCCCTGCAGATCATCATGACTTTGTGTCAATAAGTCCTGTAAAATATCATATAAATAACATATATGATAACATATTTTCCTTGCTTTATCATAAAAGGGTCCACTTTTATGATAAAGCAAGGAAAATATGTTACTTCCCACACCCGCACCTGATTGTAGCATTTAATTGTGTGAACCAAACAAAATGCTACTTTTCCATTATAAAAGCAGTTTTTAACTAAATGGCGTCAAATGTCCCACTGTGTTTTTACCAATGGCAGTCACAACCTTTCCTGTCGTGTTGTTGGTCATCCCGTCCCCTACGTAAGGGTGACCAGGTAAAAGAATGGTTCTCTGGATCTCTTTGGCTGTCGAACCGGCTCTCAAAAGGTTTTGTTGGAAAAGGAGTAAAAGATGGCATAATACACAGCTGTGATACACTAACATATTGGGAGAGCTGAATTAGGACTGATTTGTTTTTATTTCTGTTTTGCATATAATCTTTATTAGTTGTGTATTTGCCTTGGTAGGTGTTTTTTATATACCAGGAAACTGTTTTTTGTATTAGGACAAAAAAAGATTAAAACCCATCACATTCACATCTACATGCTGTTATAATTTTGTGTGTGTTAAATGTGATGCGTAGTGTGACGTTGTGGATTGATTCAGAAAAAAGATGTTATTCTCAGAGTCTGTTCTAACGTAAATGTATTATTTTACACCTTCACTTTCAGCAGTTTTTAACTGAATGGCCTCAAAGATGGCTTGACACATGGCTGTGATACACTAACATATTGGGAGAGCTGAATTAGGCCTGATTTGTTTTTATTTCTCTGTTTTGCAAAGGGCATGAATAGAATCTTTGTTAGTTTTGTATTTGCCTTGGTTGGTGTTTTTATGAACCAGGAAACTCGTTTTTCTATTAAGACAAAAAAAGATCACACCCGTCACATTTACTGATAAACGTTGTTATGTTGTTTGTGTCAAATGTTCTGTATTGTGTGACATTGTTGTTAGATTCAGAGATGTTCTTCTCATAGTCTTGTAAAGGAAATGTACTATTTGACACCTTCAGTTGGGCAGGAAGCTGAGATGCATTTTGTCCTTCGAATAAAGTGTAATTGGTATCAGTCACTGCAGATCTTTAGGAAAGCTTTGAGTACTCAGCTTTGCATCGTTCATGTTGTAAATATATGAGGTTCTGAGGTTTACACAGTTCTATCACTAAACCAGTATGATCTGTTTACGCTGCTGCTCTAAATTTGTACACCGCAGTGCGTATGTTCTTCTCAGAATTTCTAACCAAATCTGCACATCACTGTTTAGAGCAGGGAACCCGTTGACCCTGACCTAAACAGCAAAGATTTCGGGGAAATACTCAGTATCGTGTAATTAACCAGTCCTGTCCTGTCAGATGTGTGTGTTCTTTATGTGTGCGTGACTCATTTGGTGCTGTTCGGGTTGTGTAGTGCCTGTGGTTACATGCATGCTTTGGGGGACTTGTTTACTAATATCATCTTCATCTCAAGTATAAGTCACACATTTGTGCCGGTTTCACAATTAGGGTTCTTATTGGTGGATATGTATGTTTGTGTGTTTGTGCAGCTGGTTGGTGTATGAACCGCTGGAGTCTAGAAGAGCTGTTAAAGAGAGACCCAGAGAACTTTCTCATTCTACTGCAGCAAATTCTCAGAAAAGCCAGAGAGGTGAGTACGCATGTAAACACACAGCTATCTGAACAGAATACTACACCCGCGTAGAGGTGATAGTTTCTGTCACGTTTGTGTACTGTCTTTCCCTCTGTGTTGAGATCTCTATGCCCCCTTGTGGGCTCTGCAGGATGTGACAGATAAGCTCTGATCTATCCAAAGTGTTTATAATTATTTGTAGTTTATAATTATTTGAAATTGGTGTTGGTTATAATTAAATTAAAGGTACACTCTGTAACTTTTTTTTTTTTCAGAATTAACAATATTTAAATAAGGAATCAGTAAATTATCAGTCCTTATTCCGAAATGTATTTTTGACCCTGAATCACTGTGGTAAGCCTTTTATAAGTGTTTATTTTTTTTAGACGGGACAGGTTTTCACGGGAAATTGCGTACTTGTGTCACGCACCTGTGCGTGTCTCATCATGTCTGTAAAATTATTTTCTCTATTGATTTTGATCTCAATACTAGTGCAGGAATCATTTCCAGCAGGTTTGAATGTCTTTGTTTTGCCCGTTATTAGATAGGATATTATGACCACAATATGTGGATCTAGTTAATCTGTGTTCAAACTTTGTCGTGTATATGGTGTGGGAGTGTCATAGGTTAGGTGTCACAATGAGCGAGAAGGTTGACATGGATCATGCTAAATCTCAAACCTCAAAAAGAGAAGAGTTCGCAATAAAATGAGAATCAACAATGGCTTGGCTTTTTGAAGATAGCGAGAACTGAGGCATATTAAAGAGTTAGTTCACATTTAGTGAAAATTAGCCAATGATTTACTCACCCTCAAGTCATCCTAGATGTAGATGACAATCTTCTTTCAGACAATCGGAGTTATATACAAAAAATATCCTGGCTCCTCAAAGCCGTATAATGGCAGTAAATGGCCGTTTCTGTTTTGAAGTGCATCTATCCGTCACACGGCTTTTGGGGTTAATAAAGGCCTTCTGAAGCGAAGCGATAAGTTTGTGTAAGAAAAATATCCATATTTTAAACTTTGTAAAGTAAAATAACTAGCTTCCAGCCAAACGAACATACAGATTCGACTTTACTGTTAAGCGCAACTTGCGTGAGTAATTCAACGTACTGCTGATATTTACACTAAGCAATGAAGCACTTTGCTACTTCCGACATCATAAGTTGCGTAAGTTGAGCTTTAGGTGTAAGTAGACTCCGAATGTTCGTTTGGCCGGAAGCTAGAATTTTACTTTGTGACTTGTTAAATATGGATATTTTTCTTACACAAACTCATCGCTTCACTTCAGAAGGCCTTTATTAACCCCCCTGGAGCCATGTGGAGCACTTTTATGATGGATAGATGCACTTTTATGGACTTATAAAAGAAAATACCTTTTTAATATAACTCTGATTGTATTCATTTGAAAGAAGAATTTCATATACATCTAGGATGACTTGAGGGTGAGTAAATCATGGGCTAATTTTCACTTTTGTGTGAACTATCCCTTTAAATGTTGTAAAAGCAACGAAATGTTGTTTTTATTATTCAGTAGGTGTATTTTATTGAATGGATAAATCGCCAAGTGCAGAGTTGATTGTAAATCATTATCTATTGTGAAGCGTCATATTTACCTGAACAGTCATGCAGAGCTGAAGCACAACCAAAAAAATGTTCTTCCGCAAAATGCATGCAGTTTTGTTTTTTAAACAAAGGGGCCAAATGTTGCATAGTGTTCCGTTTTGAGTTTAGCAAAATGTATTTATTTTAAATGACTTTATATCTGATCAAGAATAAAGAGTAAGTTTGTGTGTAGGTGGTATGTGAAGGTGGTGATGCTGTATATCTTTCTCTGTTCTTTTAGATTCAACAGGACTGTCATTACGAGCTTGTGGCCCCTCTTGCTCTCATGTTTGAGTCCACACTCCTGCAGGTAAATTGGACACCGAGTTGATCTTTCGTGAACAAATTTACCAAAGCCTTGTAATCAGAAACTAAAAATTACTATGTTTTGTAGAATTTGTTTGTGTGTCTTTCTTTTAATTTACACAAAAGATTCATACACATACAACTCAGTGCTGCAACACGCATTTTTGTCTGCATCATATATATATATGAGCAATTCATACATCAGTGACTTAAAAACACCTCTTCTATGATGTGGATGTTTTCATTTTTTGGGGGGGCATCATGGGTGATACAACTATCCTAATAGTCTAATGATAGAAAAAAAACTTCTTGGTTCTCATATTGGTAGTTTCAAACCTGTATGAATTTATTTCACACAAAATGTGATATTTTGAAGAATGTCAGTAACCAGACAGTTGATGTTGCATAGTAGAAAATAAAATACAATGGATGTCAAGGGGGCCCATCAACTGTTTGGTTACCAACATTCTTCCAAATATCTTCTTTTGTGTTTAGCAGAAGAAAGAAATTCATACAGGTTTGAAACAACTTAAGGGTGAGTAAATTATGACAGAATTGTCATTTTTAAGTGAAATAGTAATTTGGCATAATCTTTTATTATTATATTTTATGCTTCGCTGCTTATTAATACTTTAATTTTTCAGTCATAGTCAGCTAAGAATTGTCTAATTAAAAATAAATTGTTATATTAAATTGTGTGAATCTTAATTTTTGTTAATTATGAAAACCTTTTTTAAGGTTTTGAAGTTTAAGGAGTTTAAAAAAATATATAAAATACACCTTAATGAAGATATATTTACTATTCAGTTTTGCTATACTAACTAATCAAAAAATATGAAATGTATGTACATTTTTCAGCTTTTCATTCAAAATATTCTGCTAATAATATAATTTGTAGTAATTCAGTATTAAATCAGAAAAAATGATAAGAATGTGGAGTCAGACTTTTAGACTCTTTGTTTCAAAAATTGCTCTCAGTTTGGGCTTTATCTTATTTACTCAGAAGCTGATTTTAATAAAATCACATGTCTTTTTTTTTTTCTCTTTGCAGGTGCCTTTTTGTCCATCTAATGGAGAGATTCTGACAGAAGCTTGTGAAGTGTTTCATGGCTTCCTAGCGTGGCCTGAACCCTACTGCAGTGTGTGTCGTAGCCTGCTCTCCACCTTAAATCAAGAGCGTAGAGCTCCAGGTAGCACATTGACATCAATTCATTCAAGATAAACCATCAGGCAACTGACTGCCTTACTGACTAGTAAGGATCAGCTGGTTAACCTTGTCCCCCAATCATCATTTTAAACAAGAAAAGTGAAGTAACACACTGCCCCCCAATGGTTTCAGGAAGCATTGCAATTATTTTCAAAATAAGTACTACACTTGTTTTTCCGTTTTAAGAGCACTGGTAGTACCTTAAAGATTACTTAACGGACACTCTAACGTCAGCGCATCCACTAAGATGTTGATTTGTTACTTAATGTTAAAATCTGATGAAATAATGTGTTCTTGTGTGTGATTGCTTGAATCAGGAATTTCGTACCACAGACTGGTAAGAGAGGAACAAGGCCTTGCCGTCTCCAGTCAGCGTTCTAAGATCATGTGAGTGTGTTTCCACAGAAGCAGGAGGAAATCCTGTTGTGTCAGTTATTGCTCAGCCCTTTGTGGTTGCACACTTCACCTCTCGCTTCCTGTGTTAGTTCTTGGATATCCCGAATTGAATTGTCATATTATACGTCTCTTTTAGGATGACATTAGGACATTGGCCAAAATATCGCAAACAATTGCCCTGCTAACAGTAAGATTCATTATGAGAATCTTAACAAATCCTTTTCTGTGTGAAATTAAATCTGTGTTCACTGACAAAATGTGCACAATGTTTTTTAGACAGGGCAGGTAATACCATGTTTTTATTATTATTATTTTTTTTATTTGAAGGTCCCTGTAAATACCATGGTATATAAATATGGTAATTATTTAGTACAATAGTATAATTCAATGGTTCTCAACTGGCAGGTGATGTGTCATACGTCTGTTTCTTATACTATACTAAACAATACTATAATGCAAGTAATGAAATATGAAATAAGATAAGATGAGAAGATGAGAAAGAAAAGTGATGTTGAAATCAAAACGTTTTGCATCCAGTCAATATTATTTGTCATTTGGCAAATGGCAAATACAAATATAAATACAATATTTAGCCTGGTATTTGACACTAATCCACTACCATTCAAAAGATTGAGGGTTTTTCTTTTAAAGAAATGAATACTTTATTTCAGCAAGGATGCATTACATTGTTACAGCACAACTGTTCTCAACATTGATAAAATAAGAAATGTTTCTTGAGCACCAAATCAGCATATTAGAATAATTTCTGAAGGATGTGACACTGAAGACAGGAGAAATGACTCCTGAAAATATCTGCTTTGCCATCACAGGAATAAATTCAATTTGAAACTATATTAAAATAGAAACAGTTATTAATTCTATTTTACTGTAATCTTACATAAAGTGAGTTTTTACCTTTTTCAAGCAAAAGTATTGCAACATGTCACTTTGTAAAAAAACAAAAACAGTACGGCCTGTAGACTTAACACTTAATACACATGCTCATGACGTCACCGTTTTCGCAAATTTTTGTATTTTACACGAGACTATACTTTTTTCAAAAACTTGCAATTTTAACCCCCTTTTCAAAAATATGCATTTTCAGGACCCCAAAACGCTGTTGTCATCGAACGCCAAAATGCATAAAACGGTTTTGTGTAAACGAAAAAAAAAAAAAAAAAAAACACATTCACCCCAAACTTTGTAGCTAGGACAAGTGTCTAGCCACAATGTGTTAAATATCATACAAAATGGCTTTAATTTGAACATGTTTTTTGTTCTACTCAAATCAAATACGCTAGAAAATAATGATTATAAAGCTTATCTGCTGTGTTTTCTCAGTGTTTCTGCTTCACTACAGTGATGTTTTCTGATGTTTTTTCTTTTTTCTGCTGCAGTACGGTGTTGTTGATGAACCCGGCTGAGGTGCCTGCTGAGTTCCTGTCTGTGGCGGAGCAGCTCAGTGGAGCGGAGGTCTCACAGAGAGAGAGTAGCGTTACACTCATTAAACACAGTTTCCAGGCAGTGCTGGGAACTAAATACCCACTACAGTCCATCAGCGGTGCTCTGCAGGTACACCTCACATCACAAGATATTTGCTGTTTTAATGCACTCCAAAAGACTTGAGTTGATACAGAGTGTACAATTGTGTGCATCAGATTATGAATGAGAGTGTGTAAAAAGTGTGGGCGTATCACTCTGTGGGAGTCAGGACTATCTACTGGGGCTGGGGGTTGATTCGGATGTGTGACCAAATGACTCATATGTGGGTGGCTAATGGAGAAGAAATAGATGGGTTGAGTGGGTCTAATGGATGGGGAAAGCTTGTTATAATAGTTTTACTTGCAAAAGGTGAAATTCACTTTATGTGAGATTACTTGGATGTTAGAAATCAGGGATGACTTCATTTGAAACACTGCTAAACATTTATCAGATTCTGACTTTGAATGAGTTGCAACAGCATAAGAGGATATACTGTATGACTAAGTTGTTCCTTTTCAGTGCCTTGGAGACGATGAGTTGGCACAAGTCCTCTCCTCAGTGAGTGACCTTCTAGAGTCTGCAGCGGCCATGACAGATGTAGATACAGCTCGAGAACATATGGAGAGTGGCCTGGAGGCGCTACGTGAAAAACTTAACATACCAACCTTCAATGGCACGATGTCAGATGGTACAATCTTACTTTCTACTGTACTTCTAGCCCACCTCACAAACCATAAAGAGACAGTGAAATGTGCTTTCAATTGCTACCAGACTTGAGTCCAACATAATATTAATTAAGCTTGAGCATTATGAAATTTTAATGTTTTTTTTTTAATTCCATTTTTTTTTTCTAAATCAGTGGTTCTTAAACATGGGACACGGCCCACTAGGGGGCCTTAGCAAACTTACATGGGGTTAATAAGTCTTAAAATAATTTAGATTTAGTTATATTAATATAATCTTAACTTAACTGTGTTCATTATACCATCAATTACCATTCACTAGTTTTCAACAATATAAATGAAGAAAAAAATACTGTATAATAGAGAGCCTAAGTCCCGCCCCTCCGCTTCCGGCTCATGGGACCTTATTTCGGAAAAAATATGAATGGTAGTCAATGGAGAGAGACAACGTATCTTTTTATTCCGTCTGAACTGTGCCCTCAATTACACATGTGATGTTTGTCAATTTAAAAGATAATTCTGAAAGTCAAAAACGTCGCAGTTTGTCATACAACAGAAGAGTGACATTTAGTTTTATGTGAAAATCGCTCTATGAACTACATCTCCCGGGAAGAGAAACGAGATCCGCTGCTCGTGTGTGTGCAGTCTGGTACAAAACACTCAGGTAGGACGGCGTAACGTTACGATTATAACGTAAGACTGTAGAAACAATGACAGACAGCCTCAGTAAAGTTAGCTTCATTCATTGAGAGAAAATGTGCGCCTTTGGGGTTTGTAGTCTTTGTAATTATGTATTTTCACAGTCTTATACCTCAACGGTTTTACATCAAACTGCGACTTTCTTTACTTTAAAATGTATCTTTTAAATCGACAAACATCATATGTGTAATTCAGGGCACAATTCAAACGAGATCAAAATATTTGTTGTCTCTCGCCATTGACTACCATTCAATATTTTTCCGAAATAAGGTCCCATGGTGGTCGACCGGAAGGGGAGGGACTTAGGATCTCTATACACACATAGATTATGCTGCATCATTGACTATCTGGCCAAAGTATGTGGACACCCTCTATTTAAAGCATGTGGCAATTTCAGCCAACATCTCAACAAACATTTTAGTAGAATAGCCCCTTTTTTGTTGCAGAATGACAATGTGCCTGTTCATAGAGCGAGTTTCATATTGAAACCATTTACGGAGTATAATGGGGAAGAACGTTCTGACGTGCTTGCGCAATCCCACTGACCACCTGTGAGATGAATTGGAACCTCAGCTGCTAACCACGTATAGTCACCTTATATGCTGTTGACTGAATAGGATTAAATCCTTGTAGCCATGTTTCCCAGAAGAATGGAAACTGTTATAGCAAACTCCCTATTAAAGCCAATGATTTTGAAATATTTGGGCATCCACATACTTTTGGCCATTTGAATTTGTGGTCTACATCCTATAGGGTTTCATGGTTGTTGCTTGGTGGCATACTACTCTATTTGTCTGGGCAGCAGCGGTACATATTACCTGGCACCAACTCTTAGAAACTTAACCAAGATGGATGGCCAACATGAAGCAATAAAGCTGATGGCATGATTTTTCGGCTTGGGAAACAGTGGTGTGTTTGGGTTTGGAGTGTGCTGGTGATTAATGAGAAAGACTTTGTTGTGTTTGTGTCACTAGGGGTTCTTCAGACGCTCAGCCTTCCAGCAGCCAAGTGCTACACCTTCCATTGGGACAAGGATAATTTTGGTAGGACACAGAATTCAAGCCAGTCCCATTTATTTTTTTTTTTCTGATGATTGAAACATTTGTTTGGCTGTTTTGGAATTATGAACATTATAAGAATGATTTCCAGTCGCTTTGATTTAGTTTAAAATATCGTTAAAGGGGTTCATGAATTGGAAATCTAATAATGAGCCTCTGAGTCATGATTTTCCATCTTTGTTTTTGCTAGATGTTCTAAACGACCTTCTAGACATAGAGTCTGAATTGACCTTATCTCAAACATCTGAGGGCATGGAGGAGGATGATGATGTAGACAATGTTGACGTGGAAGATGATGAATATGATGTCTTGGAGGAAGGGTTTGTATCAAACGGTTGCGCTGACTATCGTGCCTCGACCTTCTCCACTGTCTCCTCCCTTTCCACTGCCTCCAAAGACTCCATGTTCTCCACGGTGTCGGTCGCTTCCTCCGAATACTCTCCCCGTTCCACGCTTTCGTACTCATCCCAAGCTTCGGGTACGGACAGTGACTTCTGTGAGGACGCAGAGGACGACAGTCTGAGCACACCATATGTGTCCAAGACCAAAACCACCGCACGACTTTCCAAGTGCCTCTCACGACTCTTCAAACCTCGCAGCAGCAACTCTCTCTGTCGAGCCAAGAGCCTGGGCACCCCTGAGGCTAAAGAATTAGTGATCGTCCGCTCTAAGAGATCCAATTCTCTGCCACAGCAGGTGCGGCTACGGAACTCTGATTTCGGGTTACCAGTGGCCCCCCTCTCGCAGCTGCAATACGTTTGCTACAGGAGAAGACCCATTCTGAGTAGCGATGATGAGGAAGGGCCAACGGGGGCCACTACGCTCAGAGTGGTGGTGTTTGGGGCAGATCATGTGGCAGGGAGGGTTGCTCGTGCCTATGGCAGTCTAAGGAAAAGAGAAAGAGACTGTCCGCACCTCAGCAAAGCTTTCAAGATGAAGTTTTTCTTTGTGCCTGTACGGCGGGATGCAACTCCAGCCGGCTCTTCGTTGAGGAACTCGGGTTCTTCTCTGCAGCTCTCAGCAAGTCCACTGAAATCAGCCATCTCTAGCATTGTGAGTGAAATTACAACACTGATGTTTTGCTTTTTTTCATGTACACTAAGGTATGTGTATAGTGGCGTTTAGGACTGGGTATCGAGTATCAGACTGATCTCATGAAGTAGCGTGTGTATGACACGCTAATTCGTATTTCCATTTTTGGTGGAAGACGTTTGCTATCAAGACGCATAATCGCTTTTCAGCGTGTTTATGAACGCCGTTGACTTAACGTTATATAAATATATGACTTACCTCAACCCCATCCCTAAACTTAACCGTCACTGGGGTTAATGGCATTTATGACTGGACATTTGACGGCGTGTACTAGGGGTGTAACGGTACACAAAAATCACGGTTCGGTACGTACCTCGGTTTTAAAGTCACGGTTCGGTACGTTTTCGATACAGCAAAAAGAAAGAAATGCCAGAGAAATGTCCTATTTGTTTAAAGAACATTTTTTTTTAAATAAGTGTGAGTTTTCCTAGATCTTGAAATCTTCAGGTTTATAAATAGGGGTCATCTTTGAAGGATGAACAAATAATGTTTTGGTCATCACATTAAAAATAACATTTAAATATATATTTATTTATATAATATTTGAATTTTGAAGTGCTGGAAAAAGATGTGTGAAGTACTTGAAAGCATTTCACCATTCCAGCCAAACTTCCAGTTAGTGTTACTATATTAAATCCATGGTGAATGTTGCTGGTCTGTGGACGTAAAGTACTAGTTCATTCACGGCACAATGTTTCTCCTGGTTTCCATGACAGCGCTGTTTGATCTAATAGAGATCTACGGTTAATAACGGAGAAATGTGAATCCATCTCACTAGATCTCGCAGCGATGTTATTACCTCAGTGGCGAATTCAAATGTTTTCTTTACCGGATCTCTTAGCGCGGTGTGGTAACAGTGTTGCTTGATCGAGATCGGCTCGCGCTGCACAGATGTTGCTGGTCCGAACTGATAAACGATCCGTGAAGCACATAACGAGGAGCGCAGTTTCGTTCTGCTTTCATTACGCTTGCCATTTGGATGTTGCGCAACGTTGTGTTGGCCGCGTCAGCACGAATTTTGCCGGCAAGAAAAATGGTCCAAGCAATCGTTCGGTTTGTATGCGTACCGAACCGGAAGCCTCGAACCGAAACGGTTCAATACGAATACATGTACCGTTACACCCCTAGCGTGTACAGACACGCGGAATGACGCAAACGTTAATGGTGTAGACATTATACACGCATACACGCGGATAGCACAAAATGCGTAGAGATAACACGCCACTTGACTCGAAAGTGGCGTGTATGTTTACGCAAAAGTCATGATGTCATGTTGCGAGTATGATGCTTTTTAGGCACAGACTGAATTGCCTTGCCGTGCGGTATGAAATTTCTATACCTAAGGGGTTAATCTCTTTAACATCAGTGAGCCAATAAGCATGCAGCATGATTAGCTGTGGCGAGGCATCAAAGAATAACACTAGTATGCTCCGGTTATGCCCAGAGACTACTTGCCTCACAGACATGAGAAATATGGACAAGGCATATAGAAAGCTTGAAATGATCCAATTCAAATGAAAAACAAATGCTTTCTGATTACATAATCCAAATAAAAGGTGCATTTCTTCCTAAAGGTGCGCGTGCATACACTATACTGCAGAGATGTGGAGTCAGCAACGTCATCTTCATCTTAAACAATTAATTTTTTTAGTGATACCCAGCCCTAGTGAAGTGTGTAAAATAATTGTGTCATCAGGATAATAGACATTTTGCATTCATTAGCTGGTCCACACGGTTGCGACACTCAGCATGGTGTTTCAAGTCCAAAAGCAATTAAAGAGACAGAACTTTAACAAACTACTGGAGACGCCACAGCAATAAACTCCCACATTAATCAGCAATTGCAATTCTAGTAAAAAAAAAAAAAAAAAAACCAACGTAAAGTTATTTTTAAAAAAAAATTGAAGAGAAATAGTGCAGACATTGGACAAAGATAAAACTAATATGCTTGTGTCTGCACACTATCAAATGATGTATATTAAGAAAGGCTATGCTTTCAGCTATGTTCAGAAGTTTTTGCTTCAAAACTTAAGTATACTTTGGGCTTTAGGTTTTATTCCTCAGGCTTAAGAGACTGACTGCAAAAAATCATCAATTTGGACAGGAGCATACACACTTCAGCCAAAATTTCACTTCTCTTCTCAAGTGCTAATTCCTATTCGGTTTACAGAATTGTACTATTTTACACATTCAATCACCAAATTCACCTATGAAATATTAGGTAGTGATATCTGAATTTGCTTAAAATCTGAAAAGTGTGTACAGAACCAGTTTTTAATGAAAAGTTCATCAGAGAGTGTGCCTCTCTTCTCCAATTCAGTAGCCTGGTTAAAACCAGACCATTCTCAGTTGTAACTGAGTTATGCTCTGGCAAAGCGTCATAGACAAATCATTTCCAGAGGGGCGTCATCAGCGGACGTCGCGGGTAGACCTAAAACCAATCACAGCGATGAAGGAGATGACGTTTGCAGAGCGGCGGCCGGCGGAAAAAACATCTCCGAGTGTTGTTCTTTGCTCGGTTTTTAACAAAAAGGAAACGTTCAAATCGCTTAAAAACAGACGCGATAGCTGATTCAATCGAGTGATGTTCGACGGCGGCATCCATCTTTGTAATGTAGGCTACAAAATCACAGCGCTGTCGTCATCGTGTAAACCCCGCCCCAACGTTTCTGATTGGTGCCGCGATTTCTGCGGACTGGAAATGGGTTTGAATGAGCTCTTTGCCCGACTAACTTTCAGAGCAATTCTAAGTTTGCTGGAATTTTTCTGGGTTTTCCCAAGCTACCAATTCAGTTGTGTCTTGACTCTTTTGTACATTTTGTCCCATCTTGCTCACTTCCGTAGCTCTCACCAGCCCTGCAGTAAATGCAACTACTAAATTCACTATGATGAAAAACTGCTCATACTGTTGCCATTCGTGTTTGTTGCTAGCCGCAAGCCATGGCTGTAATTATCACTGCGTCAATCATTACAGTTTCACATGTGGTTCCTGTATTCCAGACACACTTGAATCACCAATTTAGGAGATATACTCCCACATTTAAGTGTGGTTATCTCTCTCAGATCTTTTAGTGTGTATGGGCCACATTGCTTAATTGGATATCAAACCACATCTCTGAGGTGTTAATCTGGTCTAGATGGTATTCCAGCCTCTGATGGTTTTAGTGGGAGTTTTGGTCAAATCAGGTCATGCTGGGACCATTTAAAGACAAACTTAGCCAGGACTGAAGACAGCTAGACTTAAACTAACCTAAGGTTTCATCAGGCATATGGATGTAGATGTTTACTCCTGGTCTAAGCTAATAAAGTCCAACACTACTTGTACACACTTTGAAGTCAAAACAAATACGATTTTGTTTTCATTCAATTCAGTCCAGACGTTCACATGTACGATTTTGATACAGAAACATTGGTATTCATTTATCAACAGGATCTCAGTGTGAATGGGACGGAGGACAGCACCAACGACATAGCTAATCTGCTGGGAATGCTGGACCCCTGGTATGAGCGTAACACTCTGAGCCTGCTGGACCTACCCGTGAATGTGTTGTGCCAGGTGACTCTCACGTCTACACAAACTCATTCACATGAACAGACAATGCATTCATATCCAAATAATCAGTAAGAAGAACAAACATCAGTAAACCTTTCATTGTATGGCAAACAGTTTTCGGCAGGGTCACACACGCACACAAAAAACCCACATCCCATAAAGCCATTCATATAAGGAACTTGCGTGTGTGAAAGTGTGTTTTGTATTGTTTTGATTTATCACCATGCCCCACCCCCCCATCAAATGACTGATGAACAATGTATTTATATAAAGCGTTCTTGCCTTAACAGCAAACATCGAAGATTGACTCAGATTTGTCCGAGGGCGCTGCTGAGGGGCGTTTACCGATATTTGCTGACCTGGTGCTCCATTACTGCCGCTATGCAGCCCGCCCTGCCCTCATTCAGCTCTATCAAGCAGAGGTGAATAAAAACATGCCATTTCCTCATTCTGTGGCAGTTCCAGTCAAACAATTTAAAGTTGTACCATAAAAGGTTTATAAATAGATATACTTTTAAGTTATATATTTTGTTTTAATAAACTGTACATTCATTACATTTTGTTAGTTTCCCTGAAAAAATTGTTTAAGACATGCTCTATGACATCTACATACATTTTTAGATGTTTCTTGGTGTTTCAACTACTGACTGCATTATTCTTTTCTGGCCTATTTTGTAACTTGCATCTTTTATGACCATAATGCAATCCAATAGTTTCACAAAAGTTGTATTCCTATTCTTGACTATAGTTGACACTAGCTGGAGGAGAGAGACGGACTGAAGTGTTTATTCATTCTCTGGAGCTGGGCCACACAGCTGGTACAAGAGCCATCAAGGCCATGGGTGAGTGTGAACAAACATCAAGATATAATTTCAGATCTTTCTTTCTATCAATGGCCAATTTCACATCATTTGATGTTTGCTCAGTATGCTTTTCTTTCAGAAACTTTCTTTTTTTCCATGGGTATATTAAAGCAATCACCAGGACAATGTTCCTTTCTAAGCATATATAAACAAATGAGCCAAAACATTATGACCACCTGCCTAATATGCTAATGGTAGACTTTAAAAGGCCCCCTGAAGGTGTCCTGTGGTACCCGGCACCAAGATGTTAGCAGGAGTCCTGTAGGTTGCGAGGGGTCGCCGCCGTGGATTGAACTTGTTGGTCCAGCACATTCCTCAGATGCTCAATTGGATTTAGATTTGGGGAATTTGGAGGCCATAGCAACATTTTGAACACACTTTTAAGGGGAGTACCTGGTCTGCAACAACGTTTCGATAGCTGATGTGTCAAACGGCTCAAAAGTCCATGTGATGTAAAAGAAAACGGACCAGACCAGCTTCTTCAACTGCTCCAAGGTCCAGTTTTGCAGCTGATTGACTACACAGCCCTTTACGCAGAGTGTGATGCACTGTGTTTTGTGATACATTCCTCCCAGTGCCATCATTAAAGCATTGTGCGACTGGTGCTACAGTAGACCTTCTGTACGCTTAGACCAGACGGGATAGCCTGCGTTGCCCTCATGCATTGGTGAGCCTTGGGTGCCCAACACCCTGTTGTCTGTTTATGGTTTTTCAATCGGACCACTGTTGACCGGGAGCAACCACAAGCGGTGCCGTTTCAGAGATATTCTGATCCAGTCGCCTTTCCCCCCTTGTCAAAGTCGCTCAGATCTTTATTCCTGCAATTTTCTCCTGCATTCAACAGAATGATTATGAGAACTAATTTGTTTGCTTACCATCTAATCTACCCAGTCCTTAGTATGTGACTTTGCTAGGAGATGACCAATGATATTATTTGCATCACCTGTGACTGGTCATGTTTTTGGCATGTACATGCTCACTGTTTCTTTGCTATCTTTCAACCCATAACTTAAAACAGTGCATAACAGTGTATTGAATCGCTGACACGAGTCATGCGAAAGGGCTTAGTGTGTGTATTGCTCTTTACACTTTGTCATTGTGCAGCATGCTGTTGTCTCCATAATTAACTGGATTTTTTTTTTGGAGTAGTTGCAGACCACAAGATCATATATTTCTGAGCAACAGAAGCAGCTTTAAATTCAGACTAATCAAAAATATTTATGCATCATAAAAAAAGGAAGAAGAACTTTTTGCATCCTGTTATAATAGCTGTATTGTGTTTTGTAGTTTGTAGTTAAGGTGACTAACTTGACTTCCTTTCTAAAGAATTATATATTTTTATTATATGATTACAGGTGCTGCCAGTAAGAGATTTGGCATTGATGGAGACCGTGAGGCTGTTCCTTTGTCACTGGAAGTGACTTACAACAGAGTAAGACAAACCATTCCAGTGTTTTGATTCATTTTAAATGAATATCCGTTTTCATTTATCCTCTCTCTTTTTTTGCTTTTACTTTCAGATACATGTCAGTGGCAGAAGTCAGAAGACGATGTCAGAAAAGTCCTGCACCTCCATAAACCTGTTAAAAGCCTGCAGGAATCCTGAGGAACTAGGTAGAAATGAACATTGTCATCAGTATAGACAGAACGTTTACGTTTAAAACCATATTTTAATTATGAATGTTAATTGTTTCCATTTATGTTTAATGAAATGATTACTGAAATTAATTGATATGCTTATAAATTGTAAAATCACTGTTTATGCACTGTATATACACAGTAAAAATCCCATTTGTAAAGTCGGCACAAAATCGATCCAATGGCGGAATTCGATTCGTTGTGAAGGTTTCACGCATGTTCTGTCTTTCCCCTGGCAAAGTGATTTTTTTTTTTTTTTTTTTTGTAATTTAGTGTTTTTATTTATTTTGAAAAAAGTTGACAACATTTTGTACAATAAGAAAGAAAACTTATATGGCTACTAATTCCCCTCTATAACCCACCCCCCACCCACACCCTCCCCATAGCACTTCGGGACATTGAGCATTATCAAATAAAAAGGGAACAAATAAAATTAATTTAAAAAGACAAATAAAATAATGTTATGGCAACGTGATTTCTATTTAAATGCAACACATTTAATCTTATGTATTAACTCGTTTCATCTGACTCCATAAAATGAAAAAGGTTTATCAATGATTCTGTGCATCGTTTAATACGTTAATCCTTGACTATTCCTTTTAACTCTAATGAAAATAAAGACAAAGTCTGTTAGAATAGTCAATTATAACAATTTAATATGTCAGGTAAATGTATTATTACAACTCCACAAGATAATCAGAGCAAACCATCAAATGTTTTTAGGACACAGAACTTTACCCAACATAATAACTACATGAATGCTGAGCCTCGAAGACACAGCATATCATGGGCTGATCTGATACAGAAAAAGCAGCCCAGAAGAACCCTTGTTGCATTTCCCTTAAATAGAGCCAGACCTTACCTGATATGTAAAACATGAGTTTAGTGGAAAATTACTGAATCCCCTCACCATGTTTACTGGGGGCAGACCATTTGCTTAGTTGTAAATTGCATTCAGACAAAAGGCAGAAGGAGTTAACTCAAACACACACCCTTTTGTGTGCAAGATATTTCTATATTCTTAAAAACCTTATTACCTTTCCTTTTAGTTCTTTGGGAATGAGACAGTATTATCAGTCACCCTGAGATCTTCAAAATGAGACTAAACAAACCTTAAAGATTATCACATTCACATTTATTTTCACCATAGGGGAATTCACTTTTAATGATAACTTTAAAGACAGACCTACTGTGAGCGACACGGTTTTTAATCAATTGTATATGCTTTAGTTGAAGCCATCAATTATTTTAACTTATTTATTAAATAATCGTCTTTAACTGTGGAGTATACACATACAGTGTACATGTTTCCAATAGTTATGAATATGAATATTTGATTGTTCTCCACTAAAATGCTTCATAAATGATTTTTTTTTTTTTTGTTAGTGCAATTTGGATTGTTAGTGAATGTAAATACAGTACAAATCAACCAAATCACAAGTGCTTCATTTATTTCTTTTTCTTTAGATTCTAAAATGGAGTGTCTTCATTTGACAATGACGGAAGTGCTGAAGAGACAAAACTCTAAATCAAAGAAAGGCTACAATCAGGTGAGCAGGAAGGAAGTATGGGAGAAAACTAAGCTGTGGTTTAAACAGCCCCAAACAAACTTAGTGCAAAGTAAACACCTACAGTTACTCTCTCATGTGGTTTCTGCAGCAATGTGTAGCAGCCGACAAACAACATTTTTTTTTTTTTACCAAGAGCAAACATTTTGGTTTTTATTTACCTCTTTCTGTACCGGTTTACACGACATGGCTGTTGTTTTTACATCTTTGTGTTTTTGGTGTCAGTTGTACTTTCATTTTTACAGTCCAGTGGTTACTCTTTGGTTCAGTTACACCACACACTGACTGTACTCCGTCTTGTTTGGTTATCGATTGAATAAAAAAATATACAGTTTGTTACAAATATTTCAAACTAATAAATGAAGCATAGATTATACGGAGTATGAAAGTACACACATCTCTGTTAGCAAGCCTGGTGTAAACACCATTCACAAAGCTCTTTTATTCTTGCATAGATTAAGTTTAAATGTTTATGAATGTTAAAGTTATTTGGGAGATTCAAGTTACAGTATTTTTATGTTTTTTCAGATAATGTTGTTTGTATTCCAGCAACTGACCACAACACAAGTAAAAGTGGATAAGGTTCAGGTTAGCGGAACTTGCAACACCACCTTTGCAGTTTGTCTGGACCAAGATGAGAAGAAAATTTTGCAGAGTGTGACCAGGTACAGTTTGTTTTTGTTGGCTATTTATGCTAAAGTTTGGCTAAAAAGAAAATATATGTATTTCCTTCCCAGCAGTGGTAGATAGACAAGTGTTTACACCAGTTCCCTGTGTATCAAACCCATGACTTTGGCATTGGTTTCTCCATTGATCTGTTTGTTTATACTTTTACATATTTATACTTTTACTGGAGTAATCTACTTTAACTCATGCGATCGATTTCAGTTTAACACCTTAAAAATATCAAACAAATTCCTGTCATCCATTGGCTTACAATATTATCTCTCTCTTATTCATGCAAATGCTTTTAAGCCATTCAAGCACAAGACGCAAAAGAGAACGCAGTGCTGTACTAATCCTGTGAATCTCCTGTCTGTGTAACACACACGACTCATGCACACAGATAGCCGCTTCAGACATCGCTTGCACGGACAAAAACACTTTAAATAATGCCAGTTTTGTCGAGTATCCTCGCAATCACAGTTAAATGAAGTCTTAAATGAACATAAAAAGTTGTGGGAAAATGTGAAAAGTGACAGCAGCCTGATAAACCTGCTGCTGTTTGTCTAAGAACAAATTATATAAAAAAGAACAAATTGTAATCTATATTTAATTCTATACTTGTAATATTTAATTTATAATTTATGCAGTGAAAACTGTGAAGTGTTTAATATCTTTATTCAATTTCTGTATTTTCTTGTCAATGACCTACCTGAAAATCTTAAAGCACTGCTTACAAGTTTGCATGGGTCAAAAACTGGGCAAGCAAAAATTTGAACTTGTCTAACAGGGCCAAGTCTAGTAAATGTTAAAAGTAGTAGCTTTTAATTATACTGTAATGTTGAATGGCTATAATTAATGACTAAAATTAAGAAAAAAAATCGATTTCATATAGACATCAGTTGCAGTATTGGTATAAATATTTAATAAAGACTTTCTACCAGTTAATGACTTTTACATTAATTTGGAGATTACATTTAGTAAAAGATTACTATATAAAAATATATAAAATTTTAATGTTGTAAAACAGAAAACCCTTTTTTTTACAAATCGAATGAATGAGAGTAATGTGATTAATTACTCGGCACATCATGTAATTAATTAGATTAAATATAATTAAAAAATCAGTAAGGATGCATTCAATTGATTAAACATGACAGTTAAACCTGTACATTGTTAAACAAAATCTAATAAATGCTGTTCCTTTTAAAAATAATCAAATTAAAGAATAATGCAAAACAACGTATCATGGTTTAAACAAAAAATATTAAGCAGCACAACCTTTTTCAACAGTAAGCACAAAATCAAATCCGCATATTAGAATGATGAATTTCTGAAGGAAATGTGACATTGAAGACTGGAGTAATGGCTGCTGAATATTCAGCTTTTCCCTAAATTACATTTGAGAAAAGTTATTTAAAATTGTAATAATATTTCACAATATTTCATCCTGTAAATGTTTCAGCATTTTTTGCATTAAGCCAGCAAAACGGGAACGGGAAAATAAGGAACAAAATCATTAAAAATGTTCATGTTACTTTGAGATGGAAACTAGCATGTGTCACTGAAAGTGAGTCAGTGACCATCACTGTTTGTCACAAAGAAAAAAACTGTTCATAATTCCATTACCATAGAGACACTAAAATTATTTTTATATAAAATTAGTTTTGTGTCCAACCACCGGTAAACTTTTTTTAATGCATCAGCCATCTGCAAAATTTTTTGGACCCTGTATATTAGTATTTGAATGTAAACTCCATTGAGCACTTCTACAATGCCAAACAACCCAAAATTATTTCTTTTTTTGCAGGTGTGAGGTATCGGTTTGTTATAAGCCAGATAGTTCGACTGATTGGACGAAAGGAAGGGTGTTCACATCTCAGACCCAGACCCTGCAGCCAACCTTCTGCTCTCTTCTTTGTCTCCCTATTGCCACTTTCAGTGGACCTCAGCCTTAAACCCAGAGATCAGGCTTAAACTCAGACCTCCAGCCCAAGAAGCCTCAAGTCTGGTTAAAACATTCATACCAGTTTTTCACTTTCAGTTTCAAACTTGGATATCGACTCTCAGGATACACGTTTGGGTAAAAGTTCCCATTTATTACATTATATGAGCATCATCATGTCTATGTACATGTGGGGTTATTTGCCTCAAACTCGTTGTTGTTTTTTTTTCTAATGGTACATCCTTCTGAAAATAATTCGGTGGGCAAACTGAGACAATTTTTGTGACTAACATCCAAAATCTGAATCATCCTTAACCAAGGTTTGGTGTGAATGGGGATTTTATTACTTGATTGTTTTGCAACAAGGCCTGTCCTGGTTCTTATGCAACTAGCATGGATTTCTAACTACTAGAATATTCTTGTTATTGTAAATATTAACCAGCATCCAAATAAGCACTCTGGACAACTTAATAATTTGTTTGTATATATGAGATAATTATTTTATGTAGCTATCATTAGAATTCTCAGGAAAAATATATAAAGAATATTCACACTTTCATTTCCAGTCTTTCCTTTTTTAATTGTTTATTTAATCCCATTTCGGTCAGACCAGAGAATTGAGACCGTGGAGCCTCAGATTATAGTCCTTAAAATCTAATGTATTCAGTGATTGTTTTTGTATATGTATATTTTGTACATCCTCTTTGTGGTTTTATGTTTGGTGTTATGACTTTAAAAAACATTTGAAACTGCCTGGTTTAAATACCACTTGTAGTTTGGTTGGTTGGCCAATAGAGGTCCTTATAAAGCAGTTGTTGAGTTCTACCTATGTGGATGCGGATGCTGAACGCTAGTGAATAAAACAGCAAGACAGTTCAGTCAGTACACTGTGTAATACTGGCACAGTTTGTAAGTAAAACAAACTGAAATCTTTCTTTCTTTCTTTCTTTCACAAGCATATGTGTATATATGTACAATCTAAAATAATCAGTATAACTGTCAAAACAATTTTTGCTCCTAATTATTTTAAAAACACTTAACTTGTATATATTTTACCAAGCTTATCAAGCAATGGTGTTCAATGTACATATGTATCTTTTATTAAAAAATAAAATTGAGAAAATTGAGGGATTTTACTAGCTCTCAGGGCAGACTGTTTTTAAATAATATTTGTTAATTAAAAATTGTAGGTGTATCCTAGTACATTTCATTTTGGTGTGATAACATGTTGGAAAGAGTGTTGTGGGTACAGATTAATGACCAATGCTACTGAAATGTACACTGTTATACAAAATGGGTTTTTTATTACTATTTTGTGATCCTAGCATCCCAGAGAAGTAAGCGGTACTTTTCATGTGACATGTATCATGTGGTGCATTCATTGTTTTTATATTTGTACACTGTAACGTCGAATTAAAATATATATATATTAAATAAAGTCCCAATCAAATTAAATTACCACTCACAAGTCTGTGTATATGGTTACATAATGACTAAGAATGATATTATTGGTATTTGCCAAGACAGGAGTCTGTCTTAGTCACATTGTAATAAACCAATGTTTTACGCATTACATGGAGGGGATTTTAATGGGACTGTCATCACATATTACATAGACTTTAAATGCTTGCTTTTGGTTTTTCCACTGTGCCCTGTAGTTTTTAGGGGCATTCTTAAGATCAAATGTCAGATTAATAACAAAAAAATGACACCTCTGTATGCTAAAACAACAGTCTTTCATGTTCCTTTGCTCGGGGTGTTTATGAACTGTTAGCCCGTTCAATGTTATTAGAAATAATTATTAAAAAAAAAATTCACAAGATAATTAATTACATTTATATAGCGCAGAACACGAAATCCACCTTCCATATACCTAAACCTACCCATCTCCGCCCCTGATCCCTATAACCCCACCCCTAATCCTACCTATCTCCACCCCCTGATTCCTAACCCCACCCCTAATCCTACCCATCTCCACCCCTTAAATCTGGATCCAACTCCGCCCCCTGGATCTTGTGTACTGCAATGAGGTGCTACTGCTTTTATTGGCATTCAAAGCGCTTTAAGAGGCAATCTCCTCAACCACCACAAATGTGCAGCATCCACCTGGATGATATTGATACAGCCATATTGCGCCGAAACGGCCACCACACACCAGCTTATTGATGGAGAGGAGACAGAGTTGTTAAGCCAATATATACACTGAACAAAATTATTAAAGGTGCAATACCTAAGATTTAGATGCCGCTAGAGGGCACTACATTCAAAACAACAACAATGGCTTTGCTTGATGACGACGTGGAGGAACGCGGAATGATGGGAACTGTTGTTTTCAACTCCACCGTGGATAAATCAGTCAGACGGGAATCGAAAATTAGTTGTCATGGATGAGGTAAAGTTCGATTTCTATAAACGCTGCGTTTAATGACATGCTTGTTTTTCATTAAACTGAAATAACCACGCAAGAAAAGTCAGGTTTAAAAGTAAATTAGTTATCACAGATGTTACTGTACGAGTCACTGGACGAAGCTATGGTGGAGAGGGTTTGAAGGGGCAGGTCTCTTGCAAGGAGTTGACGTGGCTGGTCCTCCTTGGTAACTTTATAAAAATAAAAAATCAATTTAATGTCAGTTATCCCAACCTGCAAGAATTCATTTCCGGGAGGTATATTTCGATAACAAGATTGTGGGGGTGGGAGGGAAGGCTAACTTTCGCGTTCGCGAGGCACACTCGCAAAGTCTCTCCCTCTGTACAGTCCACGCGCAGCGCGCTGTATGTTATGCGCGCAGTATGTCTCGCTCTAACATTATATCCCGGGAGATTTGAACTAATTTGCGGGCATCAGGGAAACGCTATCAATATGCGGGAGACTCCCGGAACTTCCGGGAGACTTGGGATGTCTGCAATGTACATTTGACACATATTTTCATGTCGTGTACGTATTCAACCACAGCTACAGTTTCACAAAATTAACGTTAAGGGGGTCGCACACCAGACGAGAAGCTGCAGCGCCGCGTTATTAGGCTATCTATAAGTGTACACATACCGGCGGCGCCATTCGGCGTCTGTCCGCGGCGCCCAGCAACGTTTCAGGACCGTGTTCAAAACCCTGCTGCGCCACAGAGCGCCATTTACATAGTTTTATATAAAATTGTAATTATTTTTGCCTCAAACCGTTGCTAATGGATCCTGACTTTGCCCTATGCTGCAATATGCATTTAGTTTTGCAGTGATTTACAGAAATCAGCTGCTTGAATGACAATTACTGATTATAGATTTTTCAGGTGAGATTCTCAATTCATTCTGTGAACGGATTCTCTGAGGTAAAGTTTTCTTAATTGTACAGTACAATAACATAGAACAGACATCTTCATTTTCTGTCATTAAACATAACAATATGCTGGCCTGCATGCACTGATGAGAAAGTGCGCGTCCGGTGTTCGATAACGTTACTGCGGAGTTGTCCTAATGTGGCGCGGCGCTTCTCGTCCGGTGTGCGACCCCCTTTACAGCCAACAGTTCACATTCCGAGAATAAATGAAAAGAATATATGTGCTCCATTCCATAACAAATGCGCGAAACAAGCTGTCGTTTGATAGACGCTAACGCACAACTACAACTACCGCATTTGTCCAGGACTACACGTAGTAAGAGCGGAAACCGAGGTAAGCGGATATGACGCGATTGACTCGCGACTCCCAGCTCACCCCTGCTGACACGTTCCGTTTCCTTGGTTAAAATCTCAATTTTCTCGCGATTTAAACATTGTTTGAAACATTTGGAATATTGTGAGTTATCATCTTTACTAAATATATAACACTGGCCTTGTGATTTTGGGATATTTTAATGCAAAAATCTTACCCAGATAGCAAACTGACATTGAATCAACGTGGAAATATGACATCGAAACAACGTTGATCTGACATTGTTTTGCTCATCGAATTAACGTTGAACCAACGTCAGACGCGTCATTCTTTCAAAACTAACGGAAAATCAACTTGAAATCAACGCGTTGTTTCAACGTTATGAAAGCAAACCAATTTTCGATTTCATTTAGCTTTGAAGAATGCCGCGTCTGACGTTGGTTCAACGTTAATTCGATGAGCAAATCAACGTTGTTTCAATGTCATGAGAGACGTCGTTTCCACGTTGATTCAATGTCAGTTTGCTATCTGGGTAGGTATTGCACCTTTAACACAACACTTTTTTTTGCCCCCATTTTTCAAAAGCTGAACTTTTTCTATGTACACAAACAGCGCAGTCTCATCCCAAGACGTCATATAACTGACGTCTTGGGACGTCTTTTGACCATACGTCAACATCCGCCTTTTTAGGGTCCCCTTAAACGTCGGTTAGATGACGTTATCGGATCCTAACCCTACCCCAGACCTAAACCTACCCCGTCACCTAACCGACGTTAAAGGTAAAGTGTCAGTTGTATGACGGCCCGGGATCGTCATGTAACCGACGTTTAAGGGTACCCTAAAAAGGCGGATGTTGACGTATGGTCAAAAGACGTCCCAAGACGTCAGTTATATGACTTCTTGGGATCAGACTGTGTTAACACAAAAGGCCTATTTCTCTCAAATATTGTTCACAAACCAGACAGTATCTGATGTGATCACCATTTGATATATATATATATATATATATATATATATATATATATATATATATATATATATATATATATATATATATATATATATATATGTATATATGAAGAGTTCAGATGCAAAAGCCTCTAAGTGCCATTTAAAATTTTCTTCTAAAACGATCATTTTTATCAAGCTTAGATATTCAAGTTCAGTAATTTCACTTGAATGACAATTAATAGGTAATCTTCATTGCAATTTAAGTGAAATTACTGAATTTAAATATACAAGCTTGATAAAAATGATCATTCTAGAAGAAAATTTCAAATGGCACTTAGAGGCTTTTGCATCTGAACTCTTCATATATAGCTCTTCTGTCCTCCATTTGTTACCTGTATTATTGGCACCTGTTTGAACCCGTTATCTGTATAAAAATATTTTCTGCAAAGGGGACAGGAAAACTGATCCGTGTTGAGGGAAGAATGAATGTGGCCATGTGTCGTGAGATTTTAAGCCAAAACCTCCTTCCATCAGTGAGAGCCTTGAAGATGAAACGTGGCTGGATCTTCCAGAATGACAATGATCCCAAACACACCGCCCGGGCAACGAAGGAGTGGCTCCATAAAAACCATTTCAAGGTCCTGGAGTGGCCTAGCCAGTCTCCAGACCTCAACCCCATAGAAAATTTGTGGAGGGAGTTGAAAGTCTGTGTTGCCCAGGGACAGCCCCGAAACATCACTGCTCTAGAGGAGATCTGCATGGAGGAATGGGCCAAAATACCAGCTACAGTGTGTCCAAACCAGGTGAAGACTTACGGGAAACGTTTGACCTCTGTCATTGCCAAAAAAGGTTATGTTACAAAGTATTAAGTTGAACTTTTGTTATTGATCAAATACTTATTTTCCACCATAATTTACAAATAAATTCTTTAAAAATCCAACAATGTGATTTCCTGGATTTTTTTTTTTCATAGTTAAAGTGTACCTATGATAAACTTGCACAACTTTCACAATCAGTGGCTGACTAAAAACTTTTTGGCCCCACTGTATATTGAAAACATGATTGGAAGGCCACTGGGAAAATTTGGCCAGGATGCCGGGGTTACACCCCTACTCGTTCGAAAGACATCCATTTTTTTGTGACTACAGTGAGTCAGGACCTCGGTTTAACGTCTCATCCCAAGGATGGTGCTTTTTGACAGTATAGTGTCCCCATAACTATACTGGGGCATTAGGACCCACACAGACCACAGGGTGAGCGCCCCCTGCTGACCTCAATAACTCCGCTTCCAGCAGCAACCTGGTATTCCCAGGAGGTCTCCCATCAAGATACTGACCAGGCTCAGCCCTGCTTAGCTTCAGTGGGCAACCAGTCTTGGGCTATGATCTACAAGTTATGAGTTATGATCAAGTTCGAGGATAAA